TTGGTACTGGGTATTGAACTCGGGTCTTTGCACTTGCAAGGCAGGCCACCAAACCACTGAGCTAAATCCCTGGCCCAATAATTTTTAATATTATTAATTTTGTTGGTATCTTTTGTTTCTCCTATTTGACAGATATGTGCCAAGAAGACAGTTGCTAGATATGAAAGCTTGTGGTGCAGGGTAGTTTCTGCATGCTTGCTGAACAGATATGCTTCCAAGTGGGATTGGTTAGCCTGTCCCAGTTATCTAAACTCTAGTTGGTATTGGACAGAAAATGCTTAGTTAGAGGTGCTGGTCACTAGTTCTTGGAGTATGTGGGGAAGAACTTAATGAAAATCTGTATCATTCTGATGTTGCTTTGGTTTCTTCTGATTTTTAATCTTGCATCTTTACCTTTTTATTGGAAATATATGCCTGCTTTATGGTTTACATTTTAAACTAGTTATTTGTTCAGAGCTTTGAACAATACAGTGGAGGCCTAGTATTCCTTATGAAGTGAATAGTGATTTTTTTTTTTTGGATGAGGGATAGAATCAGGACCTTGAACTTGCAAGGCAGGCACAGTGCTGTTGAGCTAACTCCCCAGCCCGAAGTGAACAGTAATTTTGAGTTCTAATATTTTCTTTCCACAGGATAAGAATTTGTACTGTATTTTGTCTCTGCCTAGGTATTCAGTCTCTTTCTAGACTCTTGATCATTTCTAAACCGCAAAGCAGAACTAGTTCAGATTTGTACTGTGCAAAAATAAACCTAGAGTAAGCAGCATCTGGTAAAATCCTTTAGGAGTTCAAGAAACAGAACTTTATATATCCTGAAGTCTGTTTTTTTTCTTTTTTTCTTTTTTTGAAGACAAGATCTCACTATGTAGTTCTGGCTAGCCTTGAACTCACTATGAAGCCCAGGCTGACCTCAAACTCACAATGATCCTCCTGCCTCAGCCCCCTGAGCACTAGGATCACAGGCGTGTGCCACCACTCCTGGCTCTGAAGTCTGTTTCTTACTCTTTTTTTGTTGTTGTTGTTGTTGTTGGTACTGGGGATCGAACTTGGGTCCTTGCGTTTGCGAGGCAGGTGCCAGAACCACTGAGCTAAATCCCTGGCCAATTTTTTTTTACTTTTTAAAAAATTTTTTATAAAGTCTGTTTCTTGAAGAGAAAAGGGAATGTGGTATTGAAATGGGAGGAAAAATATGTCAGATTCTTATGCATCAATATCCTCTCTTCAGCTCTAACACGATGGTGTCTGCTGACTTTGATATAATAATTGAGGCCATGCTGGAAGCTCCCGATAATGAGCAGGTAATATTCCCCACTCACTCCTGGAATTGGATTAATAAGAAAGCGCAGTTGTAGACCCTCAGTTTGAACATTTGTGAATGAATCCTCTTTCTCTGCTTGCTTATTGTGTCCAGTGACTGTTTGTAAAAGGTACAGTCTCAGTAATCTTTGCTGGGAACCTGAACTCAAGGACTGTGCTTTTAGAGAGGGCCCTAAAATCCTGGGGTGGGCATGGAGTGAGCTTGGTGGGTAACTGAGTGACAGTAAACAGTCCCTGTACCTCAGATTTAGACCAAGTTTCTGACTCTCCTGGGAAATAATGTCAGTGGAACAAATGTTGGATAACTGACCTTTGACATAAAAATCTATCATTTTGATCCCTTCCTTTTGGAAGCACTTCCTTGCTTCCTCTTGTTACTCCCTTTGTTAGGCGATCTGGGTGCTCGAAACTGGCTAGATAATTGAGAGTTTTGATTTCTCCTTGCCTTTATTCCTTTTGCCCAGTGGAATCTGTGTCTGCTGCCTTGTACCCTGTGACATTTTCCTGGTGAACTCAGGACGAGCAGCAAAGGAAAGAGGTTAAAAAGGACAGTCCTAGCAGTGGTACCTGGGACACAAGTGAGTGAGTATGGGGTAAAGACACCCATTGACATCTCGGGCAAGGGAAACAACTGCGTCCATTGGGAGAAGCAGCCAGAACAGGATGTGGTTGCTCTCAAGGTGGATGACTTTTAGTGACGGCTCCACTCCACTGAGTCATGGGAATAATGGTAACTTGGTTTAATGATCTAGCCTTTGCTTTCCGGTGAAGATTTGTGGATCATTTCTAGCATTGGCATACTTCATCTGAGTATAATAATAAGAGAATTTTGGACTGGAAGCACCAGTTTTTACCTGGCGTTGGGGGAAGGAGGGGCACGGGCACTTGAGAGTGGTTGGGGTTGTGTGTCTGTTGGTACTGCGCCAGCCACAGTGAACCACAGCCAGATCGTATTCTGGGCTTTGAGCTTCGATGCATCCTCTTTTAGCTTGGTCTAACTCTCGTTCCTTTTCCTTGGGAGAGAGAATGAAATCTCAGTAGCAAGAACTTGTACTCTCTTTCACAGGAAGAAGAGGAGTCGGAGCCATAGTAGAAGCGGGGATAGAAAGTGCAGGTCAGTAATTAATGGGGCCTTTTAGGTTTGGGGAATTATTAAAATGGGAAGATATTATGGAAGGCTATATGTTAAAGGCCACAGTTGTTTCTATCCATAGTCATAGTCAACACCGGAATCAACGTTGTGAAAGAAGTAGTCAGAGCTGAAGTGATTGGCAGCAGTGACACCACAGCCAAAGCTGGGACCGTTGGCATAGAAGTGAGTCACAAAGTCAGACTGGCGGCGTGAGGGTCCTGTACCCTATAGGAGTCTTCCACTTGCTACTGGGTATCACTTTATGTTATAATATCACTCGTATCTTAACCTGCTAGAGCAAGAAGTGTACTATGGATCCTGCCTGATAGGTAGGATACTGGGTCATTGTAGGGGTGGTGCAGATTGAGTACCCTGTATCTGAAATGCTTGGGACCAGACAAGTTTGGGACTTGTGGTTCTCCTGTTTTGGAATATTTGCATATGTAATGAGATACCTTGGGGGTGGGACCCAAGTCTAAGTGCAAAATTCTATTTACATTGCATGTTGCCACCTAACACACATAGCGTGAGGGTAAGCTACAGTTGTTATTATGCCTTTGCTTTTGTTTTTGTTTAGTTTTCTGAGATAAGGTCTCTGTGTAGTCTAGGCTAGCCTTGAACTCAATATGTAGTCCAGGCTGCCCTTGAACTTGTAGCAATCCTCCTACCTCAGCCTCCTGAGTGCTGAGATTACAGGCCTGGCAGTTTGCTTTTGTTCTGACTGCAACTGCAGATTTGGTATTTTCTACTTGTGGGTCATGTTGACACACGGTGTGGCATAGTTTTGGATTTTGTAGCATTTCAGATCAGGGATGCTCAGCCTGTGCTAAGAGTTTACTTGTGAGAAGCAACAGGCCAGTGTGAATAAAGTTTTCCTTTTGCTTTTCATTTTTCCTTAGGCAGAGGTATGGGTGCAGTAAGAGTCCTCATTTCAGAGAGAAGAACCCAGTCAGGTGAGTTGACGTGAGCCCTGATTTAGGGATTGTGAAGTATGAGTGAAAGCCTGGTTGAGCCGGACTGCAGGGATGTGTGTTACTTGGGGGTTAGCTAGAGAAAGTGACTGAGTCTTGAGAGGGGCAGTACCATCGCATTACTCTTTAGGGAGCCAGTTGATAATCTGAGCCCTGAGGAGCGTGATGCCCGCATAGTTTCTGTTTGCAGTTAGTTGCGTGTATTTGGCCTCGCAATCTGGTGGACTTTTTTCCTGCTATTGGCAAAGTAACCTTCTCATCTTAGTTTTCTTCTGAGTAGCCTATCTTTTATCTGTCTCTCATTATGCCCAATTCAGGATTTCCTTTATGCCCTGGGATAGTTCCTTTTCAGATCGCAACTCATGTGATCTAAGGGCATTCCTTGGTATGTGAAATTCTGTGATTTCCAGTCTGTGCCACTGACCATTGATCTGACTGGGCAGTGGCTGCTGGGAGTGCCTGTTGTTGTACAGGCCTCACAGGTGAGTAGGTTGAAAAACTGACCCAGTGGAAGACTGTAATGTGGGGAGGAATATGGAACATGACCCATCATATATTTCCTCCTTCCACAGGCTGAAAAAACCGACTGGCAGCCATGGGCAGCAACCTGCAGAGGGGTAGTGGTGGACTGAAGTGTCTTTATGTGGGCTGCTTGCACTTCAGTATCACTGAGGACAAGCTTCAGGGCATCTTTGAGCCCTTTGGCAAAGTGAGTAGGAAATGAAAGCAAGCTTAGTGCGGTGGTGCACACCTGTAATCCCAGCTACTCGAGAGGCTGAGACAGGAAGGTTGTTAGTTCAAGTCTACCCTGGGCAAGTTAGTGAGATCCTGTCTCAAAGAAATACAAAATTAAAAGGGCTGAGGCTGTAGCTCAATGTAAATGCTCTGGGTTCAATGCTCAGTACTGACAAAAAAAAAAGAGAGAGAGAACCCTCAAAAGGAATTCAAAAGGGGGAGCGGTGAGTGACGACTTACCTGGCTGTGATTAGCTCAGCACACATCATGGACTTATGGCTCCAACCTATGAAAGCTAGCCTCTGTCTTTTCCTTGCTACTCAGCAGATAAATAAGATGTAATGAAATCAGATAATGCCCTAGCCCAGCATCTTGGTGCATGCCTGTAATTCCAGCACTAGGGGGGCTGAAGCAGGAGGTATGCTTTGAGTTTGAGGCCAGCCTGGGCTACCTAGCAAGACACTGTCTCAAAAAAAAAAGTTGGGGCGGGGATTTAGCTCAGTGGCTCTGCCACTTGCCTCACAAGCACAAGGTCCAGAGTTCAATCTCTGGTACCAAAAAAAAAAAAAAAAAAGAAAAAAAAAAAAAAAAAAAAGTCAAATAAGAGGGTCCAGATTGGGAAAAATTAGAAAAAGTGTTTTGGGAGAAGATGGCCTTTTTTGGGCTGGGAATGTAGCTCAGCAGCATAGCTCCTGCCTGGCAAGCTCAAGGCCCTGAGTTCAATTCCTGGTACCAAAAAAGAAGATGGCCTTTGTCTTTTTTAATCTCTTAAAAATTAAACATTCCTTGCATTTGGAAAGATGTAATTTGTTGGCTAGAAAGTTTGAGGTATTGGGGCTGGGGATTTAGCTCAGTGGTTCTGCTACCTACCTCACAAGTGCAAGGTCCTGAGTTCAATCCCTGGTACCAAAACAAAAACATAATGTTTGCCAGGGATTTAGCTCAGTGGTTCCGCCACCTGCCTCTTTAAGTCCAAGGACCCAAGTTCGATCCCCAGTACAAAAAAAAGAAAGAAAGTTTGAGGTATTTAGAATAGTCTATAAGAAAGATTAAAGATGTAGGCTAGTGAAAAGATTATTATTGTCCTGATGAAGGATTCAGACAGGCCACTCTACAGGTTATGGTTTCATTATGGTGAGTCTAGTCTTTTTTAACTTTTAAATTTTACTTTGGGGGTTGTCCACTTGTCTGATTTTCCAGCTTAGCTTCATTCTCCTCCTTTAGGAATTGTAAATGATTGATAAGCTCTATAAACCCTGCTGCCTGAAGTGTGGACTAGCCTTGTGCCACTTGAGATGAGTACATTGCTTGAGATCTTGACTTTGTTCCTACACTCTGTCAGTGGCCCCAGTATGGGAGTGTCCCAGTGGTCAGCCAGCTTCCTGGATGCTGCATCACTTTTTGGGTAATAGTAATGAGTTTAGGCTGCAGCTAAAAGGTTGGGGGCATGAGGGAGGTTACATATGGGCTTTTACTGACAGGCTTTATAGAATTGGTGTACTGTCAAGGTAGGAGTGGGAATAATGAGTCGTACTTCCCATAGCACTGCCCCACTTGAAGCAGATTCTCCATTTAGAAGGTTCTTTGGATTAGAATAATACTGGAGGGAGAATGGCAAGGCTACCTGCTAGTGGGCAAGTCATCCTTTCTTAACACTCCAGCAAATTCATTTCCATTGCCTGTAACTGGTTCTTCCAGCCCCATTTGACTTTGGGCCCAGAACTGACTGCCAGCCACAGAATCCAATAGAAGCTGCTATTTTCTGGGCTTAATCCAGGCCCCACACACCCCCACACAGTTGCCCACAGGGCAGCGGGTAGTAAGTTATGTTCTTTTTTTTTGGTATTGGGGATCGAACTTGGGCCCTTGTGCTTGTGAGGCAGATGCCGGAACCACTGAGTTAAATCCCTGGCCCAAATTATGTTCTGTTATGGGAATTGCTCACCTCAGAAGCATCCTGTAAAGGAAAGCCACCTATACCACTGACCTAACAAGTGTCTGTACCACACACGGGCCGTTGGACAGCTAATACCAGAGTAAACAAAGCCAGCTGTGGGGTTGATGATTCCATAGTGACAAGTGTCCATTTCAGACTTGCTGCTGCTTTTTAGATCAGAGGCCTTGACACAGAAATAGCAGACTGGAAACCCTCTTCATATCATACCAAGGTGCTGCTGGTAAAAGGGATGAGAAGCAGAGGCCCTCTGCAGGTCTCCTCATTAGCAGCACTGGTGTGTATGTGCGAGTGGAGGTACTGGCTGCTGTCAACGTGAGGGTGTTCCCTCCTAAGCCAGGGCTCTGGAGTTCAGATTCTAGTACTTGATTTAGAGCTAAAAGTTAAAATGAATTAAAAATCCAGGAGCTTTGGCTTTCAGCCTGCCTTCCATTTTATATGCCCATTTGTAAAACAGTCTGTCAGCCTATTCCCTGTAGATGATAGACTTTTTGCATTGTTCAGTTCATAGTGAAGCTAAAGATCAAAAAGTGATTGCATGTACAAGACTCTGGGTTTAATCTGTAGCGTGAAAGAAAGAAAGGAAGGAAGAAAGGGAAAGAAAAGGAGGGAAAGAGAAAGGGAAGTAAATTGTTGTCATTGAATCAGTTGGTCTTTTTCAGGCAACTGTTTTGGGGCAGTGGGGATCTTAGGTCAGATGCCCTGGGAGTTTGTACTACAGTGAGGGTGCAACTTTCCTCGGATGGTGAGATTAGGAGGTGTTAAATGGGGCTTTGAGAGCAAGTCTGTGCCAGGAGGTAACTGACACATCCTGGCTCCTCATAGTTCTCAGAATCTGTGCCTGGCAGGCCGTGGGTCAACTGAATGGCTTTGAACTTGTTGGTTGACCTATGAGAGTTGGTCATGTGATTGAGTGGGTAGATGGCTTATTTTCGTTTCTGCTTTTCTTTTGGCTTCCCATCCCCTTTTCCTTGCCACAGGTAAATCAGTGGCTTAACGCACTCCTTCCCTGGGTGTGTGGATCCTGCCACTTCCTTCTCCACATCTACTGTGCTACTGCCTGTCTTCCATATTGTGGACCAAGCTATCCTGAGGGCATGGACATTGACTCTTGGAGGAATTGGGAAGAAGAGCTGCTGCCACGCTCCTTTGGGAATGGATTTTGTTGAGCAAAACCCATGGTTGAAGAGATCAGAATCTGCACCTGCATTGAATACCTGTTTGTCCTCTGTATGGACTCTCAAGAAGGCTTTCTTGTCCTTTCCCATTACATCTTAGTGATTCCTGATTCTTCCCCATTGGGAAGGACATGGGGCATTAACTGATGAAATTAACCTTTTTCCCTTCCCTGTACCTTTACCTTGTAATCTGTTAAGGAAAACCTGGTGGACTTCTGGATGTAGAGGCATTGAAGTGTAGAGTGTATACCTTGAAAGCGCTAGTTTTAAGCTCCAAGGACCCTGGAGGACAGCTTGAACATGTGCATTGTGAAGCCTGCCTTAGGCCTCAGCTTGGTACAGAACTATTTAGCCCAGAACTACTACTGTAGGCTCAAGATACTGCTGGGAGGTATGGGAATAATCTGTCCTGCAAGGCAATTGGGGTGCCTCTGGGGCTTTTGGAGTTTAGGAAAAGGTGGTGTACCTTTCTGTTATCTTCATCTTCCTTTACATACTTGTCTGTCCCAGTTCCTTCGGTTTAGGGTGGGAGGATGGAGGGGAGGCTGCTACTACTCACCACTTCCTGTGTGCCTCTACTGTGGCCTCAACCTCAGTAGTGAAAGCCACTCCTATCCTACCTGGGCCCTTCTCACTGGATTTTATACCCTGTGTTGTGTATATAAATACATGTATGTGTGTGTGTGTGTGTGTGTGTGTGTGTGTGTGTGTGTGTGTATACTTTGTACAAAAGACAAGCTCCATATTGTGGCTGCTGTCCATGTGGTCTGAGTCAGTTGGTGTGTCTGTATAATGTTAACTGTCTCACCTCCATACCTACCTGCCCACTAGACAGATTTCTAGGCTCCTGCTCTGTGCTTAAGGACAAATCTTGTCTTTCCACCAGATGGCAGTGTTACTAGGACATCCTGTGCCTTTCTTTAGGGGTGTTTTGTGATCTTGAGTTTAGGTACTAGAGAAGCTTCTTAAGTTCACATTCAACCCTGTTGGGCCGACTTTGTGCCTCCTTTTGACACTAGTAGAAATCTCAGTCCAGTATCCAAAGGACTTTGGGTATTAGCTATATACATCAGGGCTCCCCTGACCTGATGTCTAGTGTTTCTTGGTCAGCTTTGTCAGCCCTTGCTTTTCATATGTGGCTCTGCCTGGAGTAACAGGCACGGGACCAGGATTCTGGAGAGCTGGTTATTTCAGTAATAGTCCCGTGTAAAGGGAAGGAGGTGCACCTGCCCCTGCCTGTTCCGTGTAACAAGGGGTGGGAAAGAGGCTGGCTCACTACTCTAGGAACCAGCTGAAAAGAGAAGACCTGAATTCAGGGGCAGGGTTCTGTGGGGTTCCTCCATTCTTTACTGATCTCTATGGCAACAGAATGTTAAGACTTTATTATGCTAAAAATATGGATAATTGCTGTTAGGCTTTAATTTGTCAGCTCTCAGACTTCTACGTGGGGTGATGGTTTGGGGCTGGTGTTAGTCTCTGGGGTTATGTTGCTTTTGTCATAGAAGGCTGGGGGATTCTGGACTAGCTCCTGAATTTTGCAGGCCAGCAGTCTTACTTGCTCCTCACTGTCACACACACACACACACACACACACACACACACACCCATACTCCCTGGTCCTGCCCTAATTTGCTTTCTGGACCTGGGGGAAGGGAAGGAGATGACTATTTTTAAGTAGGAATTGCTGGCTATGACCCAGCCCCCCAACAGTATTGATTTGGCTGTAATGCATCTTTAGAGGTTCAGTGGGGGCCATTTCGTTAGTCATCCTGAGGCCATGAACTTGGACTCTATATAGCTGGCTTGAATTCCAGGTTACGATGTGCTCAAGCCTTGCTTCCTTGTCCTGCTGAGATGACTCCATTTCTGCTTGGTTTCCTTATGTTCCCGTCCTTAGCTACTTGGCTTTCCTAAGTATTGGCCCTTCTACCTCAACTCCTCTTTGTTCCCTGTTCCTCCTCTTATGGCCTCTTGCTAGAGGGAAAAGATGGAAGGAAGCATCTAAGACAACTTCTGCTCTGGTCTTACCCCATATAAGGTGATGGCATCTAGTGGGTGACAGCAGTGTCACTGTGCGTGACTCAGTGCCTCGTTACTCATCCCTCCTTAGGGGGTGATCAGAGTGGAAAGGGGGGCAGTGAACAGCCTCTGTTCCCAGCCTCAGGTAAAAGAAACCTCCCTCCAGCTCTCCCACCCCAGCATGGGTGGGACAGACATAAAACTCTGACCCAGATTCTTTTCCAGTAGACAGAATTTCCCTCTTGGGCTTCAGTTCTCAAGCTTTTCACCTGACTTTGGACTTAGAACCTATGCTTCTGTCTTCCCTGAGGCAACCACTTTCTCTCTTTAACTGCTGTGTGTCGGCGTAGGAATTCTGCCTGCCTCCTCTTCAGACGCCAACAACTCTAGCTGTGAGCTATCATTTACCTGTAACCTTTAGTCTGGCCCTTAGATGAGGGAAGTGGGTGAAAAATGTGAGGAGAGAAATCACACCACAGTCCATCTTTTTCCTGTGAAGGACTGGAGGTCTGATGAGAATAAAGGAGTAATACTTGGACAGTGAAAAGAGGCAACTGTGGCTCTGAAAAAGGAGAAAGGCATATGATAATTGTTATGTCTGCAGGTTTTGTTGGTCAGGCCTGAGTTTGATGACTTTATATTTATTAAATCATCTTGTTCTCAAAACTGTCTTAAGGTGAATTGTCAATTTTGAAAACAAAGTTGATAAAGTGATTGAGTGATTAACTTGTTCCACTATCACAGGAAGTTCTGGATTCTAGTCCACCCAGTCTGGCATCAGATCCCTTGACCTTACTTAACCTCACCTGCCTTACCACCTGCTCGGCACCATTGTGGGAGCTAGGGCTTGGAATCAATGGCCAAGTGTCGTTTTCCTGTCTAAATTCACTATTCTCAGTAGACACTGATGGTGGGGTTGGTTACTGGGGATTGAACCTAGGGCCTCACACATTCTAGGCAGGCACTGTATTCTGAGCTACGTCCCCTCAATCCTGAAATTTCTCCTTCATAGTCTTTGTTCATCTTGTTCTTC